CAGGAGAATTGCTTGAACCCTGGAGGTGGAGGTTGCAGTGAGCTGAGATCACATCACTGCACTCCATCCTGGGTGACAGAGCGATACTCCGTCTCAGAAAACAAAACAAAACAAAATTCCAAACTCTAGCTTAACGACAAAGTCCTAATGATTCAAAGACTTCAAAATATAAATAAATAAATAACAACAAAGCAATAAAAGCAGTAGGAAAAAAATTAAAAAAAAAACTCAGAATGGATGTATTTTTCTAGTATGACACAAAATAGAAGCCATAAAAGAAGACAGATAAATGTCTACCTGAACTTTTTTCTAAGCTGTCACAAAACATATACAAATAAAATAACCAAAATATGAATAATAAAAATATTTAAACTCACATTTGGGATGAGGACCAATTCTTGAACTCCCGACCTCAGGTGATCCAATCCCTGGGCCTCCAAAGTGCTTGGATTACAGTTGTGAGCCATGACGCCCAGCCTAACCAATTCTTTTTAATATAAGAACTTTCACGAGAGAGATCCAAGACGGCTGATCACTAGCAGCTCGGGATTGCAGCTCCCAGTGAAAGCACAGAGAATGAGAGGACGCCACACTTTCAGATGACTTTTTGTTGCTCACGCACCAGGAGATTCCCAGCGGAGGAGCCCCATGGGTCGCCAGCTCGACTCTTGTGGCCAACGAGGCGGTTTTGCCGCTGCCTTGGTGTGGCAGTTCTTGGTGCAGAGTCAGAAAAGCACCATCAATCATAACGCCGCTGTTTTGGCCGGCGCAGTGGGTTGCTCAGATTTTAGCGCCAGGAATCAACAAGTTGGACGTCCACTCAGAAACCCAATTATAAAGACGGTAATTATAAAGACCACAGATGAATAAATTTATAACAAAGGGAAGAAAACAGCCTAAAAAGGCTGCGAATACCCAAAATCAGAACGCCTCTCCCTCTACAGGGGATCACAGTTCCTCATCAGCAACGGAACAAGGCCTGATGGAGAAAGACTGTGTTCCATTAACAGAAGCAGGCTTCAAAAGGTGGATGATAAGAAACTTCTGGGAATTAAAAGAACTTGTCCTAACCCAACGTAAAGAAACTAAGAACTTTGAAAAAAGGTTTGACGAAATGTTAACAAGAATACACAATTTAGAGAGGAATATAAGTGAATTAATGCAGCTGAAAAACACAACACGAGAACTTCGCAAACTATGCACGAGTTTTAACAGCCGAATTGGTCAAACAGAAGAAAAGGTATCAGAGGTCGAAGACCAACTTAATGAAATAAAACGAGAAGACAAGATTAGAGAAAAAAGGATAAAAAGGAACGAGCAAAGTCTCCAAGAAATATGGGACTATGTGAAAAGACCTAATCTACGTTTGACAGGTGTACCTGAATGTGATGAAGACAATCAATCCAAGCTGGAAAATACGCTTCAGGATATTATTCAGGAAAACTTTCCCAACCTAGCAAGGCAGGACAATATTCAACTCCAGGTAATACAGAGAACACCACAAAGATATTCCTCAAGAAGAGCAAACTCAAGGCACATAATCACCAGATTCACCAGGGTTGAAATGAAGGAGAAAATACTGAGGGCAGCCAGAGAGAAAGGTCAGGTTACCTATAAAGGGAAGCCCGTCAGACTCACAGCAGATCCCTCAGCAGAAACCCTATAAGTCAGAAGAGAGCAGGGGCCAATATTTAACATCCTTAAAGAACTTTCAACCCAGAATTTTACATCCAGCCAAACTAAGCTTCATAAGCAAGGGAAAAATAAAATCTTTTGTGAACAAGCAAGCACTCAGAGATTTCATCACCATCAGGCCTGCTTTACAAGAGCTTCTGAAAGAACCACTACACATAGAAAGGAACAACCAGTATCAGCCTTTCTAAAAAATACCAAAAAGTAAAGAGCATCAACATAATCAAGAATTTACATCAACTAATGGGCAAAACAGCCAGCTAACATTAAATGGCAGTATTAACTCACATATATTATTATTAATTCTAAATTTAAATCGACTAAATCCCCCAATCCAAAGACACAGACAGGCAAAAAAAAGCCAAAACCCATCGGTATGCTGCATCCAGACCCATCTCACATGCAAGGATACACAAAGACTCAAAACAAAGGGATGGAGAAAGATTTACCAACCAAATGGAGAGCAAAAATAAATAAATACAAAGCAGGAGTTGCAATTTTTGCCTCTGATAAAATAGACTTCAAAGCAACAAAGATCATAAGAAGCAAAGAAGGATATTACATAATGATAAAAGGATCAATGCAACAAGAAGAGCTAAAGATCCTAAATATATACACACCCAATACAGGAATACCCAGATATATAAGACTTATAAAGAGATTTAGACTCCCACACAATAATAATGGGAGACTTCAACATCACTATTAGACAGATCAATGAAACAGAAAATTAACAACGATATCCAGGATTTGAACTCTGATCCGGAACAAGTAAACAATTAACATTTATAGAACTCTCCACTTTAAATACACAAAATATACATTCTTATCAGTACCGTATCACACCTATTTACAGGTTTAAATGAAATATTGGTTGGCTGCTTGTTTGTTATTTTCTTCCCTCATTTTTTTTTCATGTCTCTATTATTAAGCACAATTATAGTCATACCCATTTTCAGACTGCATTCTAGCCCGGGCAATAAAGCAACACCCCCGTTCTCTCTCCCTCTTCCTCTCCTTCATTTTTTTTATTCTTTTTTTTCTTTCTTTCTCTCTTTCTTCTTTTTTTTTTTTTTCAAAAAAAACAAATAAAATAAAATGTCGGGGGGCTTACATACCATTTTAACAAAGGATCTTCATTTATTTTCTAAGAATGCAATCAATGCCTTCATGCACATCACAATTAAAGTAGGAAAAAAAAAAAGAACTTTCACAAATCATTAAGAAAAACTAACAACCAATAGAACAAAGAAGCAAAGAATATGAACAGTTCATAGAAAAGGAATCAAGAGTTCTTAAATATATGAATATACACTCGACTTCATTTATCAGAAGATAAATGAAAATTTTACATGATTTTTCTCACCAATTGATATCAGATATCAATAGATTGATATCTACTGAAAAGTTTGCTAAAACTTTGGGAATTGTGGCGAAACAGGTACTCTCATACAGGCTGGTGGGAGTGTACATTGGGACAGCTTTTATGGAGAACAATTTGCAGTACCTGTGAAACATTACACGTGTATACTCTTTGACTCAGCAATTCTGTTTCTAGAAATGTATCCTACATATTTACCTGCATTGTATAAATTTCCAAGCTTATTCACTATAGCCATATCTGTAACAGCAAAAATTGGAACCATCCTAACTTAGGGTGGAAAAGGTGTGATACCTTTCTTTACCCAGGGTCACAGCTGACACTACCATAACAAAAGACAGATTAACAAGATAAATGGATAACCAATTGATTGAATCACAGGGTTTTTTCGTTTGTTTGTTTGTTTTTATTTTAAGACAAGTCTTGCTCTATTGACCAGGCTGGAACTCATTGCAACCTCTGCCTTCCAGGTTCTCTGCCTTGGCCTTCTGAGTAGCTGGGATTACAGGCATGCATCACCACACCTGGCTAATTTTGTATTTTTAGTAGAGACAGGGTTTCACCATGTTGGCCAGGCTGGTCTACAACTCCTTACCTTGGAATCCCCCACAACTTGATCTCCCAAAATGCTGGGATTAGAGGCGTCAGCCACCACTCCTGGCCTGAATCATAGTTTTATGCGACATAGTGCCTTTGGAAATGAAGACCCAAAGACCCAGGGAAAGCTGTTAATTTTTATGCTTAGATTAGATGAAGAATGGACAGCTGTGCAGAATTGTGATTGGACAAAAGGAGTATGATCTCATGGTAACAGACTGAAGGAGGAACCCAGCAAGTCCTGTCCGTTCAGGTTCTTCCTGTCCTCTCTGTGTAGCATTCCTTCCTCCTGAGCATAGGGCAAGACCCTTTAGGAACAAGGGTCTTATGACAAGGTACATCAGAGAATTTCTTTATGGCCAGCTCTTACATAAAAAGGTGAGGGAAGGATAGATTAATATTTCTAGGTTATTCTAGAATAATGTTTCTGGCTTGCTTTGGAGAAAAGGGGTTCTGGTTTCCATGATATGCCTTGGGGAAGAGACATGATCCACCTTTGGGAAGAGAAATTCTGGTTTCTATTATTTGCTTCAGGAGACACAGAAGGGTAAGAGGCAGGCAGGAGAAAGTCAGAGAGAGACTTTGCTTCTAAGGCTTCTCTGAGGCCCTCCAGTCTTCTTTAGCTCAAAGCACTCAGTGTGCCAAAAGCCATATTTTGAAGTTGTTTCCTGAGCACCAACAATATGGGCCAAGGATATTAAATTGGGACTATCCTTACCAGTGCTGTGGTCCTGCAGGAAGCTGAGAAGGGGCTAGAGTTCCCTGAGAGCCCAGATGTAGATGCGTATTTGATAGTCATCGGCTTAGGGTCAAAGACTGAAGTGATATAGATTCAGTTCATCTAAGGCAAGAATAGGTTCTAGAGGTTGCTCCTCAAGGGTAAGGACCAAATTTTATTCATCTCCGTAAGACCAGGATCAAACACAATCAAGATTTTATAAAACAGGCCAGGCATGGTGGTTCACACCTGTAATCCCAGCACTTTGGGAGGCCAAGGGGTGGGGGAGAGGAAATCACCTGAAGTCAGGAGTTCGAGACCACCCTGGCCAATGTGGTGAAACCTCATCTCTGCTAAAAATACAACAATTAGCCAGGCGTAGTGATGCGCGCCTGTAATCCCAGCTACTCGGGAGACTGAGGCAGGGAAATCGCTTGAACCTGGGAGGCAGAGGTTGCATTAAGCTGGGACTGCACTCCAGCCTGGGCGACAGAGTAACTCCATCTCAAATGAAAAAATAAAAAGATTTCATAAAATAATATACATATAGGAAAGAGATGCAGGGACCAGAGAGGGAAACCCAGGAAATGTGAACAGAGAGAGAAAAGCAGCCAAGATAATGTGGTGACTAGGAAGCCAGAGAGAGGGAGCCTAAGCCTCGGAGCAGAGCACAGCACAGGAATACACTACTTTTCACCAGAACGACATTCCGACCTCTGAATCAAACCTGGAATGGCCCTTCCATTGAACTTCTTGTGATGGAGGAAAAGAAACCCTCAGTTTTCTCATAGCAAGATGGAAGAGTTTGAATGCATACCTCAGGTCCAGCTCCAGCCCTGACACACGCCTCCGCTGTTCCTCGCAGCGTCGGTCGCCTAGGAGACAAGGGCCACTTCCGGCAACACAGTCACTTCCGGCAGCACAGTCACTTCCGTGGAGTTCCGGCCTCTCCTCGAGGGCGGGCGCTGATTGGCCCGTTTGAAATGCGCCTGGCGCGAGCTCACCTGAGTTCTCAGCGTCGCCGCCGGCCCCGCGGAGCGCCGCGCCTTAGCCGCGGAGTCCCAGTTCCAGCGGCCTGTCCCAGTGTCCCTCCGGCTTCTCCGGCTCCCCGTCCCGCGCGCGCGTTTGGGCGGCTTGGAGCCTGCTGCCATGAAGCCAGCGTGAGTACGCGGCCGCCGAGTAGGGAGGGAGGGCGGACGCGGTCCGGGGTCCGGGGCCACGGGGCGGCGGGCCGGCGTCTCTACTCAGGCCGCGGCCGGACGCGGGCTGCGCGGTCGGCATCTAGTCCGGTGCTGCCGCGGCCGCGGCCGCGACCCCCAAATGGGAGCCTCCACGTGCGGCAGCTCCGCAGGAACCTGGGCGCGGTGACCCCTGCCGCATCGCCCCCCGCCGCCCCGCCCCGGCCTCCAGGGGCCTGCAAGGGTCGGCAGGAAGCCGGAGGTGTTTTATGCCGCACCCGGTTCCCGGTTAGCGGGGCTGTCTGTCCTCGGGGCTCCGGGACTGCCTTCCCTTTCTCAAGTTCCCCTTCTCCGTCGCTGGCTGCGGCCGCCTCCAGAGCGCAGTCGGCCGACTTGGTGCGGATCGGGAGCCGAGGGAGTGTGGTGGGCATTGGTTAGGTGGGCTCCGTTTCTGGAGAGCCCAGGCACCGGCCCGCGAGCTTTTCTTAGCCCAGCACCCTGGCCTCGAGGCCGAGCCCAGCCCCTTACACCGGCCGGTTACTGCTGCTGTGTTTTGTGGCCGCGGGCAACCCCCGCCCACATTCCCAAGTTAGTGTTTTCGGCGCCGCGTCATTCATGGGTGAAGCGGTATTTGTTGTGTTAAGGAGATTGGCTTTATTACCATTTAGGGAGTCGTTTGCAAAAGGCAACTTGTTTATTAAGAGGCCGAAGTCAAAATCTTTAGATGAAAAAAAATTTATATATAAGAAATATATATATATATAAATATATTGATTTGAAGTTAGATCCCCCACAGTGTATTTTGCACTGAACAACACGAATTTACTTGTGTTTCATCTGGGAATATGTTGAAAAAAATATTTTAAAACTGCATTCGAAGCCAGTAATCTCACTTAATGTGTTAAATGTATATCTAGCCTATAGATAAATGTGAAGGGAAAAAGATGAGATGTTAGAGAAATGGTGAAATCAATCGAAGTATCTCTTTGATTGTCCCTATTTAAGAAAGCAAGAAATTGGCAGCTTGGGACCGGATTTTGTTTGGAGACAGAGTACTGTAATCTTTTTGAGCATTCAATGACTGGTTGTTCTTTTAAAGTACAGGCATAAATCTTGACGAAAGAATGGATTCCTCCATGTGCATTTTTATAGTGTGTGGAAGTTAATCGGCTTGTCAGTCTGTAAAGTGTAAACAGTTACTTGTAGATTTTTCAAATTTGTAGTGCCTCTGTTAAATTGTTGCTTAAGAGAATATGCAAGCTATTTTAAGTATAGAAACTAATCACAGAATAAGTAGGTACAGTTGGTACCAGAGATGTATTCTAAAGCAAATTTTAATTACTTTTAGATTACACTTGCTACACTCTGCTACTATGAATATTATTCATGTTATTTGGGATACAGTGTTTTGGAACTGCTAAGGGATAATTTACAGATAATCTAGAAAGATTGCATATTAGTGTTGAACTGAAAAAAAAATTATTATTACTATTTTTTAATCTATGACCAGGAGGGCTAAGACACCCCGGAAACCTATTGTGAAGAAAGGGTCCCAAACGAACCTTAAAGACCCAGTTGGGGTAAGGTCTCCCTGTGGATCTATGTGTGTGTATTTAAGAAACTTATTTCTTTAGTCCTTTCTTGTCTTATGTGTAGGCTTGGAAGGGAAGGAAGAGGAGATGTGGAAGTATAATCAAAGAACATTTAGTTAAATGGATATACTGAATTGTGTAAAACTAGTTCTAGCTGTGAAATTTTCTCTATAAGATTAATTAGTTCAGTACAATGAAGTCCTTAGTTGCCAACTGCATACTTTCCGTAATTATCATTTGAAGAGTTAGATAATTAAAAATCTCCAGCTGGGTTCGTATTCATCCCAGAGAGTATGGACTGAGTTCATATGAACCCAGTTCATGCCATACAGCAATTGATGGCATGAGGAAAGCTCCAAACTTCTTGGGCCCAAGTTTACTTCAGTCTAGTTTCTATTCATAACTGCAAGTACTTCACCAGTTTCAGGCTTGGGAACTTGCTTTTAAAAGCAAGTGTTAAATTATGAAGAAAAAATTGAAGCAGGCAAAAAGAATAAAAATTTTAAAACAAAACAACAAATGGCAAACAAAAAGGGTTCCTTTCCTCTGAGGTATTTAAAATCTACCCTTCGCTGCTGCTGGAGTGGATCCCTGGCTCTGAAGTTAAGGGCACCAGGTGCTTTGCACACAGCTGAACAAGTTTTCCTCAAGTCCCTTCTTCTGCTTTTAAAAATGTCTTTGTAGGCCAGGTGCCGTGGCTCATGCCTGTAATCCCAGCACTTTGAGAGGCCGAGGAGGGTGGATCGCCTGAGGTCAGGAGTTCGAGACCAGCCCGGCCAACATGGCAAAACCCCATCTCTACTAAAAATACAAAAATTAGCTGGGTGTGGTGGCGGGTGCCTGCAATCTCAGCTACTTGGGAGGCTGAGGCAGGAGAATCGCTTGAACCCAGGAGGTGGAAGTTGCAGTGAGCCATTGCACTCTAGCCTGGGGGAGGAGAACGAAACTCTGTCTCAAAATAAATAAATATGTCTTTGTATATTAAATTTTGGGTTAAGCTGACAAGTTTTTAAATTGACATCCATTTCCAAAGAATTCTAACGGATTTAAAAGTCTCATTTTGTGACATGTTGCTGACTCTTAGAGATGTTAGTAGTAGTATAACTTATTTGTGTACAATATAATAGTGAATACACACTGCAATTTGATTTTTGTTATCAAAATTTATTTTAATTTTATGTGTGTTTAAAGTCTTCTAATGTGTGTTTGTATCTATCAATCTCACATAGCAGATTTTAATTTTCATAGCCCTTGGCGATACAGAGCTCTTAAATGAAGAGACCAAGTGTTTGTTGAATGAATGAATGAATGAGAAGCTTAAGTGAAAAATCAGGCAAAAAGTTAAACTTCGTTCTTTAAGCACCTTCCTGTTTGTTTAGGTATACTGTAGGGTGCGCCCACTGAGCTTTCCTGATCAAGAGTGTTGCATAGAAGTGATCAATAATGCAACTGTTCAGCTTCATACTCCTGAGGGCTATAGACTCAACCGAAATGGAGACTATAAGGAGGTAATTCTGATTTGAACCAATTGTTTTTACTCAATATATTGTTTCCTGAATGACTTTTACGTTTTTAAATGTAACAAAATTCATTTGTGAGCCCACAAAGTCTTATTTACGTCATTATTACTGAAACACTGTATCTAAAGTGTTTTTGACTTCTGGGATGCACAGACATACCTTTGGTGTGCTGGAGTTAGAGGACTGCTTTTAGCAGATAATTTCTTACACTGGGTATTGTTGGTTTTTAGAGCATGTGTTAGGGATGATTTAATGTGGAATGATACTTGATTGTGCTAGGCAGTTTGATTATATACAGATTCATGTGTGGAAATTAAAATAACGTTTAATAATAGGCATTGTATACTTGCATCAATCTCTTATGCAGTGTTTTTATTGTTAGTAAAATTTTGAGTCAACTTAAAAATATTGTTAAGCAAATGTGCTAAGCTAGTAGCTGGATGGTAGAAGATTTTTTAAAAACAAGTATGACATACTCCTTGCCTTTAGAAAGTTTATAACTTAAGACATATGGTAAACAAGTAATTCTCATATAGATACGACAGAAAGTTAGGTGTACTAAAGATGAGGGGCCCGTGGGAATGCAGGAGGATTAATTCAGGCTACCATTTCTACTTCTAGCTATCACTCACTCTTTCGTGCCTACTATTCCTGTGAAACTGCTCTCCAGAAGACTACCAGTGGCCACTTTGCTGCTAAATTCGATGTATACCTGTTCGCCCTCATTATAACCTGTTTGTCAGCAGCACTCTTGTGTCTCCCCCTCCAGCTCTCCCTGTATCTCCAGTTGAAACCTCTTCTCTGGCTCTGAACATTCAACCACTTACTTGGTGTCTCTGCTTGGATGTCACATGTGCATCTCAGATTTTACATGTCCAAAAAGGAGTTCTTGATTTTCTCCTTTCCTCTCTAAATACTTCCTCCCTTGTTTTCTTCTCAAGGAATGGCACCATCACCTGTCCAGTTTCTCAAGCCAGAAACCTGGAACCTACCTTTGACTTGCCCCTCCTTGCACCTAGTTCATTAGTAGCTCCTGTCAGTTATATTCCATGATGTGTCTTGAAACTGCCCTTTCATTTCCATCTCCACTGCCACCAGTCCTAGTCTGAGTCCCATTATTAATCATAGAGACCAGTGCTCCACATAATATCTGTAATGAAGGAAGAGCTTTTTTATTTTTAATGCATCACAGCTGGGACTTTTGTACAACTTGTGCTAGATGGAACTGCCCGTGTGAGTTAGACAACAGAGAACTGGTTCGTAATCTCTTCGTAGAGATGTGCCTATTGAATATGTGCTGCAATACTGATATTTGATATAGGCCAAATGCCTATAGAACTTTCTAAATGTTAGGCCGAGCACAGTGGCTCATGCCTGTAATCCCAGCACTTTGGGAGGGTGAGGCAGGCGAATCATGAGGTCAGGAGTTCGAGACCAGCCTGGCCAACATGGTGAAACCCATGTCTACTAAAAATACAAAAATTAGCTGGGCACAATGGCAGGTGCCTGTAATCCCAGCTACTCTGGAGGCTGAGGCTGGAGAATGACTCGAACTCTGGAGGCAGAGGTTGCAGTGAGCTGAGATCGTGCCACTGCACTCCAGCCTGGGTGACAGAGAGACTCCATCTCAAAAAAGAAATATAAAAATTATCCAAGCATGGTGGTGGAGGCCTGTAATCCTAGCTACTCAGGAGGCCGAGGCAGGAGAATCCCTTGAACCTGGGAGAAGGAGGTTTCAGTGAGCCAAGATCATGCCATTGCACTCCAGCCTGGGCAACAAGAGTGAAACTCCATCTGAAAAAACAAACAAACCCAACTTTTTAAACATCCTTGGGTTTCAGCTTAATTATCACCCCCTCAGCTTGTACAGACTACCCAATCAGAAATAGCACCACACAGCCCCTGTCCCCTGGTCTGTACTCTGTGTATCTACTTTATAGTACTCAACCACAGTCTATTTACTTGTTTATTGTCTTTCCTCCACCATAATATAAACTTCCGGGGAATATGTACCTTATATGTTCTATTCATCAAAATAGTAAATATGGCTTCAGCCTGAATGAATGGTCTGGGAAGGTTTTCTGGAGGAGCAAGTCTTTGAGGATATAACATAGTTAAACACTGATTTACTGAGTTTAACTTCTTTAAGTAAATTTCAAGTATGTATAAATAAAGGTATCAAGTAGGTATAAAAAGGTTTGATGGGGATTAAAAATAGTCACTGCTTTCTGACAGAAGACAACACTGTATAATGAAAAGCGCATTGCTGCCAGGAATGATGGTTTATACCTGTAATCCCAGCACTTTGGGAGGGTGAGGCAGGCGAATCATGAGGTCAGGAGTTTGAGACCAGCTTGGCCAACATGGCGAAACCCCATCACTACTAAAAATACAAAAATTACCCTGTGTGGTGGTGGGTGCCTGTAACACCAGCTATTTGGGAGGCTGAGGCAAGGAGAATCGCTTGAACCCAGAAGGCAGAGGTTGCAGTGAGCTGAGATCCCGCCACTGCACTCCAGCCTGGGTGACAGAGGTGAGACTCTTGTCTCAAAAAAAAAAAAAAACAAACAAAAAAAACCCATTGCACTGAAGATGGCTTCAATACTAATTAACTCCATGTGCTCAGAGAAGTTTCTCCTTTGGGCCTTTAGTTTTCTTTACCTTGAAGGGAGGGAGTCACTCATGAGGACTGTGAGGTCATCTGTCTTCTCAGTCCTGGCCTATGTGTATGTATCCTTGCAGTTCCAAGATTCTTAGTTCTTTTTGAACTCTAAAGCCTTTTTTACTGGATTATATTTTATTAATCATGTTTAGAGAGACTTGATAATTGTCTTGCTTTCTTAAAGGTCACAATTTATTTAAAATGTATTTTGTGTAAGAACTCAGATGAGATTATATTTATAGTTTACTTCCTGTTTTAAAGTACAGTACATCAAAACATGTGGTATTATGCTGCTATGCCATTTTCTTTTTTCTTTTTCTTTTTTTTTGAGACAGGATCACACTCTGTTGCTCAGGCTGGCATGCAATGATGCAGCCACAGCTCATTGTTTTTTTGTGGGGATTTTTGTTGTTGTTTTTACCTTTAAAATTTTTTATTAGATGAGCTTGCCCAGGCTGGTCTTTAACTTCTGGCCTCAGGGCATCCTTCTGCCTTCCGAAGTGCTGGGATTATAGGTTTGAGCCACTATGCCCATGCTATGCTCTTTTAAATGACACATTTATCAAGAAAAACTAGGAAACAATAAAGCCGTGTATTACATAATGCTTGTAGATTTCCACAAATCTGTGACTATGAATCATTATAATACCTTTTGATCTTTGTCACTTAATTAAAATTAACCTTAGATTAGAAGCATTAGTGGATTTAAGACTTTTCTACATTTTCAGCTGGGTGTGGTGGCTCACACCTGTAATCCCAGCACTTTGGAAGGCTGAGGTGGGTGAATCACCTGAGGTCAGGGGTTTGAGACCAGCCTGACTAACATGGTGAAACCTTATCTCTACTAAAAATACAAAAATTAGCTGGGCGTGGTGGCGTGTGCCTGTAACTCCAGCTACTCTGGAGGCTGAGGCAGGAGAATTGCTTGAACCCGGGAGGCAAAGGTTGCAGTGAGCCAAGATCATGCCATTGCAATCCAACCTGGGCAACAAGAGCAAAACTCCGTCTCAAAAAAGAAAAAGAGACTTTTGTATATTTTCTTTAGTAGTTGTGACCGAAAACATTTACCAGTTTATAATTGGTATAATTTAGGTATGTCATGACTTTTTAGTGAATAACTAAAAAATGAAGGATTCCAACCGTAAAGACCATTTATGTTTTTTCTTTGCATGCTTAGATCTTAAATGTCATAAAGAAACACCTTTAAGTTTAAGAAGATGTATTTTTGGCCTAGATAATAGTAGAATTCCATTTAGTACATTTTTTTCTCTCTCCACAGACTCAGTATTCATTTAAACAAGTGTTTGGCACTCACACCACCCAGAAGGAACTCTTTGATGTTGTGGGTCATCCCTTGGTCGATGACCTTATTCATGGCAAAAATGGTATGATCTAACTCTTGGAGTTTTGCTGGATTTTCCTTTTTCTCCTCTTCTGATAAAACTTTTTTGATATTTTTATGTTTGGCATTGAATCCATATTTAATTTGTTAGTGTGCTGGTAAACTTGCCTTTTTTAGTTGGCTAATTTTAAGTGTTTTCTAATACAGTGAAGAAATATTACAAGTGGAGGACTTCTAAGATGTAATTCATTGTGACTTGCTACACTGTAGGTCTTCTTTTCACATATGGCGTGACAGGAAGTGGAAAAACTCACACAATGACTGGTTCTCCAGGGGAAGGAGGGCTGCTTCCTCGTTGTTTAGACATGATCTTTAACAGTATAGGGTCGTTTCAAGCTAAACGATATGTAAGTATGATTCTTTTGTGTTGTGACTTATCTTACTGGACTAAGATGCCTATGGATACAGTAGTATTAAAGAAGAACCAAAACACGGGATTCATTTTGAAACCTTAACTGTTCATTAGTTTTAAAATATGTTTCTTACTATTTTAAGTCAAATTCTAAAAAATGTGGTATGATTTTTTTTTTTTGCCCCCACTTCAGGTTTTTAAATCTAATGATAGGAATAGTATGGATATACAGTGTGAGGTTGATGCCTTATTAGAACGTCAGAAAAGAGAAGCTATGCCCAATCCAAAGACCCCTTCTAGCAAGTGAGTAATTATATTTGTATGCAGCACTGGCCTAGGGGCATAGGATTCTGTCCTGTGGTTTGCCCAGACATGGGGAATGGTAAACATTAAGTAGAGAAGTTGACATTTGTGAGATTAAAGTTAAGGAATATTCTTAAGTTCTTTGCTCAGATGTTTTCTCTTTGGTTTTGAGCACATTTTGTTTCAATCACTGTTTCGAGAAGGTGCCACTCTGGGTGGAGAGAGGGTATAAAAGCCTTTGTTATGTGTTTGGGAGAACATGGGGCAAACTGTGAGTATGAATAAAGTTGCTTTGTGCATGTCTACTTCTAATTCCAGATATTTATTGTATCTGTTAGTTTCCCCTTGGGATCATTTAAAAAAAAATTTTTTTTTTGAGATGGAGTCTCATGGGATGCCTAGGCTGGAGTGCAGTGGCATGATCTCGGCTCACTGCAAACTCCGCCTCCCAGGTTCAAGCGATCCTTCTGCCTCAGTCCCATTAGTAGCTGGGAATACAGGCACCACCATGCCCAGCTAATTTTTGTATTTTGGGTAGAGAAGTGGTTTCACCATGTTGGCCAGGCTGGTCTTGAACTCCTGACCTCAGGTGATCTGCCCGCCTTATCCTCCCAAAGTGCTAGGATTACAGGTGTGAACCACCGTGCCCAACTGGGATCCTTTAGTTTTAAAATGGACTTAACAGTGTATAAAATTAAACTTTGTTGTTGTTTTTTTTTTTTTAAGACGACAAGTGGATCCAGAGTTTGCAGATATGATAACTGTGAAAGAATTCTGCAAAGCAGAAGAGGTTGATGAAGATAGTGTCTATGGTGTATTTGTCTCTTATATTGAAATATATAATAATTACATATATGATCTGTTGGAAGAGGTGCCATTTGATCCCATAAAACCCAAGTAAGTAGTGGAGAGAGCCCCTTAGCTGTTAACATTGGGGAAGTTACTTTACCTCAAGAAGCTTTAGTTTCTTCAACTATGAATGAGAATAATGCATTAGTTTTCAGAATGAACTGCTATAATTTGTATATCACATGGTTTGGTGTTTGAGTGTTTATTATTAACTAGATATGTAGCTATATTGGGGAACTGGTGGGTTAAAGCATCTAAGGAGACAGAGGGACCCAAATATTCATCTTGGAGATTACTTTTGAAAACTCTGGGCCCTGGGCTGTGTTTTGAGAAGGATCTTAATTTATTACATAAGGAAGTGTCCCTATTGGTGTGTTCTGGGACTACCTTTCAAGAACTTGAGACAGTATAGGGAGTTTTGTAGCCTCTTAACACCGCCCTTGGACTGGAACCTAAAACTGTTGTCTGTACAAGTAATACTTACATACCTTCCATCATTCATTAATATGGAGTGAGAGCTGCACTATAATTCCACCAGAGCTGAAATACTACTTCCTAGATGTCCTTGGGTCTTGCCTTTCTGAGATGTAATACTGGTTACCACTTGGCAAAAATGATAAATCTGTATTTGTGCCAGAGTTGACCCTGGAATCTTACGTTTAATGTTAGCTGAGTTGTTTCGTTTTTAAGCTAAATTTCGTTTTTAAGCATTAAGCTTGTCTTTAATGCTCTCTTTATTAGGGCGTCTCTGGACATAAATAATATAAAGACCTGTGTCTTATGTTTAACTTTGTGTGTATATCTAATGGAACATTACTGGAGAAACAGCTGGACTTAGAAAATTGATAGACTGAGAATATTTACCAGTGTATCCACTTTTAATTACATGAAAAATTTATGGACTCTGGTTGAGGCCATACTTGATAAAAGTGTTTCTGTGGTTCTTAGTCATATATTTGATACGGTTATCTTCACCAGAGTCCTTGAATTTTCATTGCATTGATTGGGAAAACAATTACAGTATGCCTAAGTAAGCTAAATGTAAAAATAGTAATCCTAGGAGTTTATGCCAAGGAAGACTCTTGCTCTGTTTAACTTTTCCTCAAGTGAGAACTTTACAAAGGTACTTATTTCTGGAGTGACCTATCTTTATTTACCCTTGAAATGTTGGTAATAGTAAAAATACTTGGATTAGATTGTGAAGCAATACATGGAAGAGTTAAGACCTTGTGAGACAGTTACTTTTTATTTTTTTTTGAGACAGGGTCTTGCTCTGCCATGTCAACTCACTGCAGCCAACCCTCGTGGGTTCATGTGATGCTCCTGCCTTAGCTTCCTAAGTAGCTGGAACTACAAGCACCAGCCACCATGCCTGGCTAATTTTCTAATTTCTTGTAGAGATAGGGGTTTCACTATGTTGCTTAGGGTAGTCTCAAACTCCTGGCCTCAAGCGGTCCTCCCACCTTGTTCTCCCAAAGTGTTGGGATTACAAGTGTGAACCACCATGCCTGGTCTGACAATTACTTTTTATATTAAACTAATTACTTTCCCATTTGTTTTAAAGTGTCAGTTGTCTTGACTGTAATCTTGGGTATACCCATTTTCATGTATACCCGTGTGCCAAGTTTTTGTTTGGTTTGTTCTAAATGAGACTGTTTTCAAAGGATCCTATCTTGACTTCATTTAGTTATACAGAAGAAGATTGACAAAAGCGCCTTATGTGCTTTGTAACCTTTCTGGGTAACTCCTTGAATGAACATACAAGGGTGCTTGTTTGGCAATGAATTCAGATTTAATGTGATAGGTTGGTGTTAGGCCTGCTTTTTTTTTGGGGCGGGGGGACGGAGTTTCGCTCTTGTTACCCAGGCTGGAGTGCAATGGCGCGATCTCGGCTCACCGCAACCTCCG